CCCCAAAGCCCCAGCCAGCCCCAGTAGGCTTCCCAGATGTGTTCTACCCAACTTTCCAGAGACAGATAATCTTTATCTCATCACAGATTGTTTTAATAAATGAAATAAAGAGAGAAAACTGCTCAGCCTTCTTTGTGAAATTCATGTAATCTTGATTCAAAACCAGATCAGGACAATACAAAGGGGAAAAAATGACGGGCCTATTTCACTTATGAAAGAGAATGCAGAAAATAAGATAATTAGAAAGGAGAAGCCCATGCGGGAACTTGGCATCTGCAAGCTCTGCCTCAACATCTGTGTGGGGGAGAGCCGAGACAGACTGACCCGGGCAGCCAAGGTGCTGGAGCAGCTCACAGGCCAGACGCTCGTGTTCTCCAAAGCTAGATACATCAGGAGAAATGAAAAGATCGCTGTCCACTGCACAGTCCGTGGGGCCAAGGCAGAAGAAATCCTGGAAAAACGTCTAAGGGTGCGAGAGTATGAGTTAAGAAAAAATAACTTCTCTGATACTGGAAACTTTGGCTTTGGGATCCAGGAGCACATCGATCTGGGGATCAAATATGACCCTAGCATTGGTATCTACGGCCTGGACTTCTACGTGGTGCTGGGTAGGCCGGGTTTCAGCATCGCAGACAAGAAGCACAGGACAGGCTGCACTGGGGCCAAACACAGAATCAGCAAAAAGGAGGCCATGCACTGGTTCCAGCAGAAGTATGATGGGATCATCCTTCCTGGCAAATAAATTCCCGTTTCTTTCCAAAAGGCCAATAAAAACTTTTCAGTGAAATGTAAAAAAAAAACTAAAAAAAAAAAAAAGAACTAATCCAACAATGATATAAAAATATAGACTTTATCCCAGCAATAAAAGATTTGCCAGTGAATGCACTGAGGTGATTCATCACAGTAAAGACCAAAGGAGAAAAACCATGTATCTTTCTCAACAGATGCAGAGAAAGCATTTAACATAATACAACATCTATTTAAGATTTTATAATTAAAAATCTTAGCAAAGTAGGAATAGAAAAAAAGTTCCTTAAATTGGTACCCAAAACCTACAGCCAACACTTTTCTTAATGGAGAAAATTTAGGCACATTCCTTTTAAGATTGGGAATGAGACAAACACGTACTATGTAAGAGTGTACTGTAAAAAGTACTGTGTAATAGTGCTGGAGATCCTACACTTGATCTTAGCCAAAAGGCCGAGAAGCAATTATAGTGCTGGAGATCCTAACCCATGTGGTAAGAAAAGGGAAAAAAAGGAGGTAGAGCAAATGGAAGGGAAAGATAAAACTTCAATTATTTATAAAATATATGATCATCTACATAGAAAAAAACAGAATAAAGCCTATCATAATTAATAATAAAACTGAGAAAGGTTATCAGAAACAAGATCAACTTACCCAACTTCCAATGTTTCTCTATACCAGTGGTTCTCAACTAGGAGCAATTATACCTCCCAGGTAGCGATGATAAATTTAACAAATAAAATTTAAAAAGACCATCCATTAAATCTGAATTTCAGATAAGCAGTAAATAATTATGTGGTCAAACATGTCCCATGCAATATTGGGGAAAAAATATTAGGTCAGTATTTTATGTGACAATCCCACCCCCAGAGGACATTTGGCAATGTCTGAAGACATTTTGTCACAACCGGGGAAGGGGATGCTACTGGTGTCTGATGGTGTCCTACAGTGAACAGGACAGCCCTCACAACGAAGGATCATCCAGCCCCAAATGTCACTCATGCCGAGGCTGAAACACTTTGGAATAACCAACCAGCAAATACAGTAAAAACCAAGGACCATGCACAGCAAGTATAAACTGGGGATTAATTTAACAAAAGAATTCACAAAATTTCTATAGAGAAAACTTTGAAACTCTGAGAAAACGCAGAAAAGATTACATGAATACACAGAGACATTCTATGCTCTTGTGAACATGTAAAGTGCCGATTCTACTCTGAAAATCACTATATTCATTGTAACTCTAATCCAACTTTAAGCTGATTTTTCTTCAGAGATTTGGTAAACTTTTTCTAAAAATTTACACAGAGTAATAATGGACCATGACTAGCACGCACAGTCGAGTCTGAAAAAGAAAAGAGGAGATACTTGCTTTGCTAGATATTAAGGCCCTAGAAAGTCGTGGCGTTAGAAAGGCAGTTACTGGGTCAAGAACAAACAAGAGATCAACCAGGCAGAAAGGAGCAGAGCCAGACCCTTGCAAACTTTATGTTTCAGAAACGCTGCCACAAATCAGTGGGGAAGGGCGGACGAACTCACTTAAAGACATGAAAAACCAAACCCAAACAAAACTGCACCCTACCTATTATATGGAAGATGCACACCCACAGGGTTTTACATGAACCCTTTTAAGTGAAAAGTAAAACTATACATAACATTAATAGAAGACAGTGTCAGTGGGCTAAGGATGAGAAAGGTCAGAAGTACAAGCCGTAGGGGTGGATTTGCTTACACCAAAAGAAAGGACTCCTAGTCAACAAAGGATGCCGTGGGCACAAATAACAGGCTGGGAGAAGACAGCCCTACCTAAGGCAACAACAGACTGATACCTACATCAAACAAGGGACTCTGGTAAATCAGCACGGAAAAAGAACCCTGGTTAAAAAGTCAGCAAAGAATATCAACAGGCAGTGACCTGAAGACCTTAAAGGCTAAGAAATATACAAAGAGATGCTCACACTTCTTGTAGAGAGATGTAAATTGGAACAACCATACAATCTCACTTTACTCTCAGCACATTAATAAAAATTAGGAAGCTGGATAATGCCAAGAGGTGCCAGAGATTTGCCTTTGGGGCTTTGGGGGCAGCCTCTCTTCAGAAGAAGAGCCTGGCTATACGGGATCAGATTAGGCAAATGCACAGTCAGTGATCCCGCTATCCTGCTCCTGCGTACGTGCCCCGGGAGATCATCCGAAGATGACTAAGGGGACATGTGCAAAGACGCTCGCCCCAGGGATGTTTGCGCAGCCAGAGCGGGCCGAGCCGCAGCTGCTCCTCACTGGGGGCACAGGTGGGAACACGGCGCATGCGCACACGGGAGGTTGTGCCGTAAGGGGAGGGAATGGATTAGAGGGACACACAGCGGCATCAATGGGTCGTTAAAAGCGTGATGCTTAATAGAAACTTTTAAATTAAAAACCATGCCCACCAAGCAATATGTGCTTCAGACACACAAATAAGTTGCATGTCACAACACAACATGACTGCTGATCGTGAGTGGAGAATAGGAAAGAGAAATGAAGACAAAGGGGAGTAAGAAGATAAAAAAGAAATAAAGATCCATGCAAAGATAGAAAATAAATGCAATGAACTGAGCAGTATGAGTTAATTTAGCCTCTAGCACCCGGGGCCTAAAGAAAAGTTAACGAGGTGGGGCGGCGAGGCGCAATGGGCTTGACAGAAGCTGGAAAAGCTATTTCCTAGCTGCAGGTAACTTGGGTGCAGACTGTCCAATTGTTTGAAGGAAATGGTTTTCCTAGTGGTCAGGGGTCCCTCCCACCCCCCACTCTGGAGGCGGCGTCGGGAGCTGGGCTGAGGCCCTGGGAGGGGAACCGCTGAGCGCGGGGGTGGGAGGCTGCTGAGAGTCTCCCAGTGGCGGTGTCCGAATCCCGGGGGGGGGGGGGGGTCAGCTGAGGGGGTGCTGAGGTTGTTACCACAGGTGGAGGCCTCATTCGTGCCCACGGTCCAGCAAGGAGGAGGGGACATTCAGGGAAACATGGTAATCCTCGTATGTCGTATATAATTTCTTAACCAAAACCAGATGATAGATATGTTGTGTAACATACTTTCAGCATGAAGCAGCATGCTGTCAACACTTCCTATGATATTAAATGTTCTTCTAGAACACTCTCATGGTTTTATGGGGTCCGTGCAAGTTACTTACTGCTCAGGTCCAGGCCCCACCCTACTCTGCTCTGTTCAGTCTCCCTCTCCAGCTGGTTCCCTGCCAGGTTCCACCAACGGAGACACTGCAGAAAACTAGATGGGAGGGTTACTTCTAACCACCCTTCCTCCCTGCATATGTGGTTCCAGCTCCTGCACCCCCTCCCTAGCTTTGGGACTCTGGTCCAGCCAGTAGGATAGAAAGGCTGTTTTTTGGCATTGCTAATCTCTGGATTGCATCTCCACACACTGGCTTCTCAGCTCTTTTATCACCTGTAATAACCAAGCCCCTGTCCTAAAATCTGAAATAACTGGCATGGATTGTCTTCCTGACCGGACTGATACAGGACTGGCAGACTCATTGGATGGGCTGCTCCTTTTTTGTTATTATAAATCATGTAATAGTCAATACCCTCAAAGCTGAATCTTGGTCTCCAACCATCTGTGTTTGCTCTGCACAAATTTCTAGAAAATTACACAAAACATGCTTTTGATGCATGTTGCCTGTTCCCCCCACCCCAAATGGTTGTACCAGCTTGCACTTCCAGTAGTGTAGGAGATGCTTCTATAATTTCATTGTCAAACAGGGCTCTGTCCATGGGGGTACAGTAGGGTCTAGTGAGGAAGGGATTGCCCAGGTTTGTATTTTGTTTATTGGAGAGAGGGCAAAGGTAAGGAGAAGACAGAGGTACATGCTTTTTAGATGTGCACATAAGTAGGGGCTTTCCATCCTGAATGTGAATCACATGCCTACAGAGACCAGCCAGAGCCCCTGAGGCCTCTGCTAACGGCTCAGCCAAACTCCTTAAACTCCTTAGCCAGCCAGGCTTCTTCACTGATGCTTGAAAGCTAGGGGCTCAAAAATGGCCTAGGAAAGGTCATCTATCCTCCAGTTCCATTGGAACTGAGTTTCTGGGAAGAGAAATAATATCTGGGGTCAAGACCAAGTCTTGGCCACATTCCTGTCAGGCAAGTAAGTACATACAGTCAAAAGAGAGATACTCATTAATTATTCAGACCAGCCAGGAAGTACTAACATGCCCCAAAGATGACTGCACTCTAAAGAAATCCTCATGAAGCACACGTTGGATATTTTGAAAAATGTTAAAATTTATTAATAGTTAACATCACATAGTTAATTCAACTAGCTCTTTATTATACATGACAACATCTTTACTAGACTGAGTGCTCAAAGATTTGAGAATCAACACATCCCAGTCCAAGATTGAGATTCACCGTATTTACATCAGGCAAAGCAGCATCAACAAGGAACTGTCACCTAACTGTGGGAACAGAGACATTCAAAATGCATTTTCCTTTTTGGAAACCAACAACATATCTCGAATAGCCACACACACAGCTCTACCTTTAAAAAAAAAAAAAAGGTGCAATTTCACAGACAGTGCCTAATTTTCAAGTTTAAAAGTGAAAATTCATCTCTACTTCTTGGGCATTCTTTAGTGATCCGCAGATCTAGACATTGTTCTCAGTACAAGTGTGATCAATGTGCCAAGTTGGGTGCTGTTGAGTCCTGTCTTTCCTTCCTTGTTGTGATCCTTGATTTCCCACTCAATAGTGTTCTAGGGTCATTAGTTGCAGGGTGTGGGTGTGCATATTTTAGGGAGGAAGTGGAGTTCAGATTCAGAATTAACTATACCCCTGAAAGGTAGAGCATGGAAGATTTTATGCCACCCTACTCCCCCCACCCCCACCAACAGTTTGAAATAAATACTGTGTATAAAAACAGCTCAGCCTCGAGAAGCCCTCGGACAACGCTTCTTGGAAAAACATTTACAAAACAGACCAATTTGGCTAGGAGGGCACAAATCCGCCTTTAAAAGTGTTGTCCCTGAGGTTTTCTTCGTTTTGATTGTTTCATTGTTTGGTTTTGGTTTGCTGTTAACAGTGAGACAGAATTTTTAAAGAAGTGCTCTTGGTGGCTTCCTTTATCTTCTTAGCTTAAAAATACTACTGACTACCCTAAGAATGACCATTCTTAAGCAATGAGTCTGTCTGGAAGGATTCCTGTTTGCTTTGGTTAAGAGCTGGTGTACTGTTGCCCCAGGAAGGTCTAGACAGAGCAGCCTGTTTCTGTGGTTTCTTCGATCCACAGACCCAGCTTCCCTCACTGTGCCCTGCTTTCCACGTTTCCCAGTCTGCAGGTTTAAAAAGGAGCCGGGAAGGAGCTACTTAGCCATTCACTCACCCTGAAGAGGCTTCCCTTCTCTTCCCGCAGGCGAATGAGGTATTTCTAGTAACCTGTCAGTATCTTCACCTTCCATCCTATAACTACACAGATCTATTACAGAGGCCAAGTCTGAAAAGACCCTGTGTATTTATATACATAACACATTGACATATAAATACATTACATACAACCAATCATTACATACAGTATCAAGGTAAAGGAGCAGATGTTCTTCATGAACTAAATAAATTTCAAACATAAATTAAAATGAAAATAGAGTTGTTTCCACTTCTGCAGGAAAATTCTTAAAAACAGACCAAGAAGTCTCCTCTGCCCCAAAGGTCCATTGCTCATGGATGACTCAGGAACCCACTCATGGCCTTGGTTTTGCTTTCTCAGATTCGGGATGCTTTAATTCCAGGACGAGCCTCCACTGGAACCCACCAGGCTAGTAAAGGAGGTTAAAGAGGGGCTGCCACATGGCTATCCACGGACTACCCCCCACCCCAATGCTGCCTCTCCTCCCGCCCCTGCCCCTCTGCCTGTGGGAGAATCAGGCTCAAGTTAGTGGAGATCCCTCCAGATTCAGAGGAGACACAGTATCGGCCTCCGTGCTAGGGAATGCTCTTCACCTTAGAAATACCATGCTCAGGGTCCATGGGGAAGCCACCGTATCTTTTCATTAGTGTCCCCATCCTGTAGGATTATGCAGGGACGTGGAATTTGGCCAGAGGGGTGACTAAAGGTTAAAATTTGTCTTGAGTTTTAAAAGAACCAGTAGGAATAGTTGGACAAGTATGAACAAGTCCTTATTTCAAAACATATGTATCGCGGGAGGGCCAAGGCTTGGGCACTGAACTCAACAGTGAGCATCCACAGAGACCACACCCAGTCCCACAGGCTCCTCTTTGCCAGGGAAAAGCCCAGGGGCCCGTCTCTGACACAGAGGATGACATCTTATAATTTAAAGCAGGGAAGAAGGGGAACCAGAGGAAGTCCTTTCTGGATTTCAGGGAGTCTATCGCTGGCCAGCCTCGCGGATGCGGCAGGCCACAGCAGTGATGAGAGCTGCCCCCTTCCCGCTGCCGTCCTCTGACTCCAGGAAGGACACGTCACATTTCGGAGCCAGGTCCTTCACCGTCTCATGCATGACTTTGGCAAAGCTGCGAGTGTTGGGAGGAAGACACAGGGGGAGAAAACACCTTAGTCATGATTGGTTTGTGTCCCCCGAGGTGAGATCCTAGGAAGTGATGCTGGAAGCCCAGGAATTATTAAGATGAGCAAAAGGATGACAGCTACCGTGTATTAAACACTCACTATGTACTATGTATCAGAAAACCAAGGCTTCAAGAGGCTAGTAACATGCCCAAAGTCTATGTCACGGCAGGCAAGTGGGGAGCCACTGGGAGGCAACTGTCTGAGATTCTGAAGGTTGTGTTCTTAAAACTCATCAGTGGAAGAGAGGGTCAAGGGTCACGGGCACCACAGGTGTGCCCGGCGGAAGTGCACAGCCTGTCCACGAACTCTGGAAGGAAGACCAAGCCCCATGCACGTGACACTTTATTTTCCAGGGGTATGGACTCACATAGACCCACATCTAATCCAAGATGTCATTAAAGATACAAGAAGCAGGCTCGGGGGGTTACTGTTGGCACATTATGGTGATTGTAGAGCCTTTCAGTATGGGATCAGAGAAAGAGAAAGTCACCATGTCCCCCAACATAATAGGGTCAGGATGCCCTCATCTATGAAACAAGCCTCAGTGCCAGGGGCCTGACTTCTGCTCCCCTCCCCACTCTTATCTGGGACCAAGATTCCCACTTATGAGGCACTGATCATCAAGACAAGAAACTGCAAGTTTCTCTCTTTCCAGTAACTGTGTAAACTCTGGGCAAGTCTCTCAACTCCTCAAGACGGTCATGGTGAGAGCAGGCAACATTTCAACTGATGAGTCTCTCTACCCTCACTGTCCCACCTACGGCCCAGACCAGAGTAACAGCTCTATTCTTTTCACTTTGAGCTGAGAAGCTTCCAGGGGAAAGGGATTGGGGCACTTCCTGAATTCAAAATGAGTTACTCAAAACATATGCAAATGAGTGACGAAGGGAGAGGAACAATGGTTGATGAGAGAAGAGAGATGGAGAGACAGGGAAAAGTATAGAAAGAATAGGGAATTCAGTGCTTCCACGGGGGGGGGGGGGGCACGGCGGGTTCGAGGGACACGCTTCCTATAAAGAGCCAGACAGTAGATAGGCTTTCAGCTTTGTGGGCGACTACACCACCATTGTAGAGTGAAAGCAGCCGGAGACAACACATACATGAGTGGGCATGGCTGCATTCCAATAAAACTTTATTTACAAAAACAGTCATGGCTCTAAGTCCGCCAGCCCCCGTGCCAGACTGCAGAAAATACCCCACTCCAGAGTTCCAGCATACATTCCGAGAATGTTCACAGGAGCACTGTTTGTAACAGACAAAAATCTAGAAATAAGCCAATATCCATTAGCAGTACAATAAACTACCATATACTCATTCAGAGGTATGCTCCACAGCCCTGAAAATTCACAAACTACAATCCCATACTTCAATGTGGATGCATCTCAAAACTGTACATGCTGTGTGGGAAAAGCCAATCCCAAAAGGAGAGATGCCAGAGGATTCCCCTGACGGCAGTTTCAAATCTAAGGAAAACCAAACAGTAGTGATACAAACCCAGATACACAGGGAGAGGCAACTAGGGACTGAGTCACCAGAGTACCTTCCCCTGGCAGGGGACAGGGGTGTAACCCTGAGTCCTCCAAGCTGGGTGGTAAACACAGCCCTACTTCTGGTTTTTTAACCTTTAAACTAAAGCATCTACGTTATATACACTCATTTGGAATGCCGGGTGGTTTGCTATAAAATAAAAAAAGAGAGAAAGAGAAGGCAAGGAAAGAACAGATGGAGAGAGAAAGATGGGCAGGGAGAGTGGAGGTTAGGCACTCACTGAGGATGTAGCTTGTAGAGGGTCCCATCCACGCCCACGGTCACTTTGAGAGTGTCCAGCCCCCGGTTTTCTCGGATCTTGTCCACCACGGCGGCCATGCCCGCGCCACAGAGCTGGGCTGCCCGCCGCGCCACCACGGTGCACACCTCTTTGACAATGATGCTGTCGTCACAGGTGCTCTCGAGCCCCAGGTGGCGCAGGATGGCGCGGACCTGCAGCAGGGCCAGGCAGTCACTGCGGGGGGGACACACAATAGCAAGTGGTCGGTCACATACAGGAGGCGCTGGCGGCAGCCCTGGCCAGGTGGCTCCTGTTCTTGAACTCTGCCCAGGAAGCAATACTCATCCCACTGGACCCCGCAGAGCCCTCCTGAGTGTGAAGGGCAAAGAAACAGCTCCTGTTTCTACCTGGCTGGGTGAGGGGAGGCACTGCTACCCTACAACCCGTACTCAAGGGAACAGGACAGGCCCTGTCTAGCTTTCCACTCATTTGGAAAGAATAAAGGCAGTGAGGATGGCTGTAGTTGGCATTTTCGGCTGCAAAGCTCTTTCCTACCCGTTTCCTCCGTGTTGTTCCCGGGGCAATGGGAGGAGGCTTCCGCTGCCTCCCAGCATAGATCCCTGCTCTTATTTCTACCCCCTCCCAGGGTGCTCTGATGGCGACTCGTGCAGTCTTTATGAAACAAATGTGAATCGAATTGTAAGAAGAATATAAATCTTATTATATCAAGGGCACTGTCTTGGGACTCCGGAATCGGCTTCCTGCACGCCAACTCGAACAACCCTCTTTCTCTTCGCTGGTTCAGATGCCTAGCGCCCCCGCTCGGGCGCTCAGCACTCCTGTTCTCCCACACACCTGACAGTGACGCACAGAAGCCACTCGTCAAGGGCTCTGGAAGTCCCTGTTCTAATCTGGAGCCGGCTTCGCTGCCATTATCAGACGGGAGGAGGGAGGTTTTGCTTTCACAGGTTTCTGACTGCCTGGCACACCCGCCTTCACTCGGTCCTGCTTCTCCTCTCACCGCGGCCCCAGTTAGAAGCGCCCTCCTGCCCGGCGCAAGGGCTTTCATAGGCTACACCCTCCGTGCATTCCAATTTACATCCTGTGAACAGGTTACCTTCCCACCTTTGATAACTGGCCTAAAACCCAACAATATTACTTTGCATGGGCTCCTGGCAGCTCAGCAGGACTTTTCATGCTTAAAATGCCAACTATCCATGAGTTACTTTAAATAAACAGTAGAGCTATGAATGTCTCTGCAACCAAACTGACCTGTATATAAGCCATACCCCGATCTTACTTGAGCTCTGGAAATCCTTCAGCTTGTCTGTCCATGAGAGGGAGGACGCGGTCCCACCCGACCCCAGACCCAAATTCTCACCTCTCAATCTGAGACAGGAACTTGGTTTCAAAGATTCCCCTTGTCTTGAGCCGCTCTGAGATGCGGCCACGGAAGAGCAGCCCACGCTTGGTGAAATCGATGAGGATGTTACGGACAATCTCCCCCAAGTACATGCCGCTGATCATTTTCTCGAACCTGCAATGCAGATGACGTTCACGGAGGACGCATGTAGGAAGGGGTGATGCCCAGAGCATTTGCAAAGAGAGGGCATGCAGATTCCCCTGGGTGGGAAAGGAAGTGCTACTTGATTCACTTGGGCAGGATGCCTGGTATCTGCACACACAGACCCACGGCCTTCAGTGAAACTGACCACAGCGCCCACCTGAGGACCAGGGGGTTCCCGGGGTCATCCCCATCTTCCAGGCTCATTACCTTCCAATGCTTACTCCCAACTCCTCAAGGAGGAAAACACACCCAAAGCCCACTTCTAAGAAGAGAGCAGAATGCTGAGTCTTAACCGTGAACTTCACCAGGCATTCAGCAGGCTTTCTCTCTAAACCATGACATCATTATCACACAAGTAACTAGTGCAACTGGAGAACCCGTCTTGTCCACTAGGATTGAATGTGATTACTCAGTGGCTTGAGGGTCTTGTGGCCCTGCATAGTGCCTTTAAAGAAGTTGAGACCCCAAGTTTCAACCAAGACACCCCAGCGCCACTCCATCTTGTTTCACCCTTTGTTTCATTAATGACACCTGTCTGGCCCCTAGAAGCATTTTAGTCTGTGACCTCTACTCTCGACAAAAGTGTATTATTCTGCAGAACTATGGTCCCTGACCATATCCAGTTAGGAAACACTACACACATCTTCCCAGTAGCAAGTGTGCTGGATCTTACACTATCGTCCCGCAGCTCAGAGCCCCTCCCCACCATCCTGGGGGCTTTCTGAGGCTGGGGCTGACCCTTGTCCAGGCCGGACAACAGAGGATGCTACATACTGGATAGATGGAGGAAGAGATGCATTCCTGTCTGCTTCCTGTTCCTCTCTCTGCCACACCAGCTTCTTTACTGTACCATCAGCAGATGTCTGCTTTTCCTCACCATCGCAGACCTAGGTTTAAACACCCTCTCTCCTGTTCTCACAGGCAGGGGTGGGCAGGCCTGCTTCTTGAATTTTCTAGCTCTGTGTTCCTCAGTGCCCCCTGTTCATCTAAAACCTATGTGACCGATTCCCTATAGGAAATGCTCCTCAAAACAGATATTGTGACCTGTTTTCCCAAATGAACTTTGAAGGCGTCACAATCCAGCAGGGAGAACTTTCCAGATGTATTTGACAAGAAGCCCTTTCCAAGGACATTTCCTCTCCTCACATCTCAAAAATGAGTGTCCTGGGATTTATTGTTGTAGAGGATCTGACTGCTCGTCCCCATGCAGTTTTGGGGTACCCGTACCAGGACCCACCCGCACTGGGGTACCTACCTCTGTCTGCCAGGGTTGAGGGAAAGCTCATCCACAGCCACATCAAATTCTGTGCGGAAGTCGTCGAGGCATCCATTGTCCCCAAAGGCCCCCCACTCCATGTTGACACACATCCGGCCCTCCTCCCCCTCAACCAGCTCCACGTTCCGCATCTCCTCCATGTAGCAGGCATTGCTGCCCGTGCCTGCCAATCACAAACACGTCAGCACCTTGCCGGGAACCGTCCTCCCTCCACCCGAGTCTCTGGGTCACGATGTAGGAACGACAGCCGGGGTCTTACCAACGATGAGGCCGACTTCGCAGTGAGGGTCTTCATAGCCACAGGTCATCATAGTCCCGACTGTGTCATTCACCACAGCGACCACGTCCAGGTCAAACTCCTGAGAGGGCAAAAGCAGATCCCCAGTCCACCAATGAATCCCAACATTTTTCTTTCAGACACTTGCAAGGGAGATTTGTATGTATATAATTTATAGAAGTGTTTTTCATACAGCATGGCTCATTCTCTCTTTTCATTCAGGTCCCTGCTCAAATGTCACCTCCCCAGAGAAGTTCCCTGGTTGGGCTATTTAAAAGTGCCCTTCTCTAGCCCACTCACCCTGTCCTCACCCGACTTCCTTTTTCTTCCCAGTGCAACAGCACCTGACACTAGCTCATGGGTTTGTTTATAGCACAAGAGTTTGCTGTGGTCATTCCTGAATCCACAGTGCCAAGAGCAGGGCTTGACACCCAGGAGACACTCAATCATTGCCGAAGGATCACATTAATTCTCCCCCTGACCCATGCACCTGCACCCAGCATTTCCCCACTTTGTGACCGCGGGTCATTCCAGGCCTCGTGGTGCCCCTGTCCTACCTCCCGCCGGTGGATGGCCTCCTTCAGCAGCGTGACCACGTCCTCTCCCTCACAGCCCGATGCCTTGAAGCCTTTAGTCCACTTGAGGAGGATGCTCTAAAAAAAAAAAAAATCAGGAGGGTATCAGAGGAGGGCTCCTGTGTCATCCCCGTGGCCCTGCTGTGCCTCCAGTCCCCAACCTCACCACCAAGTCGTCCAGACGCCTTCAATAACCAACCGTCTCTCCCACACGTGATGGCGCACCTACTAGGTGTGCGTTCCATCATTTAATCCTCACAGCAAACTGGGGACATATCATTATAATGCCCCTTTTCTAGGTAACTGCAGCTCTGGGATAATCTGCTCAAGGCCTGAACGGCCTTGGAGGAGAGGAGCAGGACCTCCCCCCGCCGCCATCCCCCAGGCCCGCCAACTCCATGGGCCCCTAAGCACCACACTAGTGCCCCCGCCACAGAGCGAAGTGTTTCTTTCGCTGGGAAAAGCAGTTTGCTCTGTCCTATCCTCTATTTACATCAGAAGTCAGAGTATGTCTCTTAATTGTCAAACTCCAGTTGGGCATGAACAAGTGCGCTGACCATTGGTGGGTGACACCCGGCTTCGCACCACCCCAGTGAGGGAAACGCTCTCTCGTCTCCTCACAGACCACCCTAAGCCACTTGTCTTTAATGCGGCCATCTGCCGAGTCACGGGGCCCTCTGGGGAACAGATAGATATGTGGTGTTTTACACGTGGGAGAACTGATTCGTGTACTGTCCCCTGGCCCTCTCTGCTGCTGCAGCCCAGCAGGAAACCAGCACCAAGGGCTCATGGGCCCCTTCCTGCAAGGCCAGAATCCATAAATGGGCCGTATGCTCACTATCCACCCAATCCATGGTCTCTCCAGGCCTTGCCTGGCCTCGCCATGAGCTTGGCATTTCATGGCCCAGGTGAGTTTGGAACCACAAGTCAACCTGGATGTGTCACACTGTGCTCAGATCCCAGGAGATTTGGGAAAACAAGATACAATCCCAGCCGCACCCAGCTTTACATACCTACATCCTAACAACGGCATGCTCATCTCCACCTAACTGTCTTGCCTACAGATTAGCTTCACACCTCTAGTGAAATTTTGTATTGGCACTTCCAAGTTTACAGAATGATCAAATGATATTATTTCAGGTGGTCCTTAATAATGACACAGGCAGAGGCCCCTGCTGCTGGGGAGACGTGCCCCAGGCCGCCAGGTGGTCAAGGCAGCTTGGGGTCTCTGGGCCTTGGCACCTGCTGATTTTCCACACAACAGGATGATCTTAGCAAAGCAGAACCCAGCTTACAGACAGATGGAATGACAGAACCCAGCTTCTGCTTCATCTGCTCTTAATTCTTTTTTTTTAAGATTTTTATTTATTTATTTGACAGAGAGACACACAGCGAGAGAGGGAACACAAGCAGGGAGAGTGGGAGAGGGAGAAGCAGGCTTCCTGCTGAGCAGGGAGCCCAATGTGGGGCTCGATCCCAGGACCCTGGGATCATGACCGGTGCCGAAGGCAGATGCCTAACGACTGAGCCACCCAGGCGCCCAGCATCTGCTCTTAATTTTTACAATGCTAGACTATACGTGTGCTCCCTGCAGAAACTTAGAGCATACAGAATGAAATCTAATACAATGAACCTGGAATCTCATCATTCAGGTAGAAATAGTGAAGGTGTTCTTGGGCCACTGGATAAATAATTCACGATATATACGTGTTGGCATGAAAAGCAAGGTGTGTCTATTGAAAAATATTTCAGTAGGAAAAGCCTGGAAGCATGTATACTGGAGTGCTATGTTCCATCTTCGTATGAATTGTGTTTTTTTTTTTCGGGTTTCTATACTGCAGAGACTATCTTTTTCTTAAAAAATGTGTGAGTCTTACCATCGGTTTTTTTTCCCCTATTATTGAAATTTCTTCCAAAAATACTAGTTGCTGATACGAGGCAGCGGGTTGCTCAGAATTTATTAACTATTTCCCAAGTATTGAACAATGGGTTTGTCCCTGATGTTTTCATTATAGTAAACAATGTTTCATTAAGTATCACATAAATATGGATCTCCATGTTCCCTTTGGTAAACTGATGCAAATGGAGAAGGCTTTGAAAACCCAGTGCATTGAAAATCATGAGAAAAATCATGTGTCGAGACAAAGGAATGAGAAAGGCTGGGGAGAGGGAATCAGAGGAAGGTGGTCAAACGTACAAGCTTCCAGTGATAAGGTAAGTTAAGTGCTCAGGACGAAATGAACACAGAGAACACTACTGTACAGTGTATTTGAAAATCGTGAAAGGGTAAATCCTGAGTTCTCATTACAAGGAAAAAAAACACTTTTTTATTCTTTTTCTTGTTTTGTCTCTATAGGAGATGACAAATGTTAACTAAACTTGTGGCGATCAGTTCACAATATATGTAAGTCAAATCATGGTGCTGGGCTCCTTCAACTTCTACGGCGTGCATGTTACCATCTCAATAAAGCCGGAAAACAACAGAAAAGCGAGACGCAACACTGCCCTAGTAACAGTGGACACACGGTGACAGGTGTTTGGAAATACTGCATCAGGCAAGGGTTTTCATTGCAGGACACCCCAAAATCTCTGCTGAACTGGTGCGCATGATGAATCCAGCTCCGAGGGGAAGAGGAGGAAACATTTACAAAACTCAGCTGAGCAACATGCAGGCTACTGTTCCGGGTCCCTGCGGCAAATGCAGGCCTTTCTTCCCCGCTGGACCGAGCTCCCTATACCTGGGACGTTTCCCGCCTCCGTGCTCCCCTGCACACAGCCAGGCCTGCCTGCCCTTCTTCCCCGTCCACTCCTTCTTTGGACTTGGAAGCCAATCCAAGTCTTGTTCATGCTGTCTGGGTGTGTGCTCAGGTTAACATCACTCTGGTACCCCACTGGTGCCTCCCCACCCCGTTCCCACCAGCAACTCATGCCTTCCTGCGCTTGCTTACTTGCCATCAGCACAGTTTGTGTGTGAGACCCTAAAGCAGGAACCATGCCTTGTGTACCCTGGCCTCTCTGTCCACCGCACACTGTCCATTTGTAAACGTGCGTGTACCCTTCTAGAGGACCGATGGAGACAGAGAACAACTCCTTAGACAATAGTATCCTAACATCTGGTGTGCCGACTGTCAACCCAGAACAAGCCCAACCATGACACTCCGCTCTCCTCCATTCTCAACACACCATGTCCGGAATATCTGAGCACACCAGCTCTCGGCCCACCTGCTTCACTCATGCAAGGCAAGTTGAAAAGGAATGAAAAGCAAAGCTAAGACTAGAGAAATACCGGGGCACCTAAACAACAGGAGGTGAATGAAAATGTCCTGCAGGAGCTGGTGAGCATCCCTGAGAACATGGGCTCAGGTATCAGGAAACCAGAATTCAGATCTTGGTTTGCCACACCCAAGCCTTCTGATCTGGCACAAGATACTTGGCATCTCTACAGACTTTGTTTTCCTTTCTGCAAAATGGGCATACAAACACCTACCTACCTTCTATGGTCGCTGTGATGGTTAAATGAGATAACACACATAGGAAGCCTAGCACTGTGCCTGGCATAAAGTGCTATAAAAATGTTCACTGTTAATATTTGATAAGCTCCATCGTCATCATACCAAAGATTGTGACCTTTTTAACCTCCATCAGCTCCAACTGAATCATGCCCATCAACAGGCCCCTTGTCATGACTGCTTACTCATCCCCTTTTCCTTCTCTCAACTCAACTTTCTCCCTTGCTCCAAACCCTGGCTGGGGTAGGGTCAATAAGGTCCAGAGGTAAGCGCGCCCCCCCCCCCCCCCCGCCCCGGGGAGTCTGTTACCTCATCCAGGCTGTTCTGCTGGCAGGGAAAGGAGAAGGTGAAACCCAGAGGCAGGGACACGCCCTTCATGCCCATGTACTCAAGGAAGTCGGCGATGCACTGGACGATGTGGTCAAAGAGCTGCGGGGAGAAGTTAGGCTCTGAGGAAGGGGTCCTGGCCCAGGGCAGGGCGCCCCCCAGCAGGGTCTGGCCACAAGCTCGGGGGCTGCGCTCGGGAGAAATGCATGCTCAGGCACAAACCTGGGGGAAGACCAGGCCAGGGCCCCAATCCACCTGGCCTTCCCTGGGACCGTGGCTGAGCAGAGAAAGCACTGTCCTCCCGGGCGAGACTTGAGTATCTACTGGGGTCCCCTCCCAGAGGCGCCACCCTGCCTCACCTCGTCCCCCGTGCCGTGCATGACCTCCTGCGGGATAGAGTAGATCTTGTTGTGCATCTCTACTCCACGCCGCTTTCCATTCCTCACTCGCACCAGCAGGACCCGGAAATTGGTACCCCCAAGGTCCAAGGCCAGGAAGTCACCTTTCTCTGAAAAATAAACCCGGGAAGGTGATGGACTGGAGTGTCACCACGTCAGCACCACAGAGAGTGACGGTCTATAAAGTCCTTTCCCCTAAGGGAGACCTCTTCTGGCAGCCCTCAGCACCCTCAGGGGAGATGGACTGTGTGCTCCACAGAATAGGAAAGAAAATAAGATCCCTGGGACCAGAGCCCTGCTGCCTCCCTAGTGGTCCTCAGATGAGTTCAGGTGGGCCAGACGTCACAATGAGCTCTGCGTGACACCAGAAACTGTGATACGTGATACAGTACACTCAAAAATATCTAGGGGCACTGGGGGGGGGGGCTCAGTCAGTTAAGCACTGGGATCAGCTCCCTGCTCAGCAGGGAGTCTGCTTCTCCCTCTCCCTCTGCCCCTCCTCCCTGCTTTTGCTCTCTCTCACACGTGCGCGCGCACTCTCTCTCTGTCAAATAAATAAAATCTAAAAAAAAATCTAAATGTGTCGTTCATGCTAAATCAAAGGCCACCTTATCTTAGCTTCTAGAATAGAGAAGAAACAGCAGAGTTCAACTCTTTAAAGGAAATCGAAGGGAAACCTTTTTACGTGAGAACACCCTCCTCTGTTGGGCAATCGTAATACCGTGTTACGTGCCTCAAACACACTTCTCATGCAGCCATAAGGCGGAGGCACTGCCCTTCCCTCTCATGGAGGAAGGGGACCTGGCTGAGCCAGGCTGAGTCGCTCCCTCGGGCCCACAGGTCAGGAGCGGGTAGAGCAAGCACCACGGCCCAGGCTCCTGCTCCTGCGCCAACCATGCGACGCTGGCCTGCTCGATGTTAGTTCTCTTTGCATTGAGAAAAGACCACCATTTCTTAATGTGCAAGACCCAGGCCATGGGTCAGCAATCTTTTCCCGTAAAGGGTCGGGCAGTCAACTTTTGAGGTCTTGTGAGCCACAGTCCCTACTGTAACCTCACCATTTTGTCATCGTAGCACAAAGTGGCCACAAGCAATGCGTAGACAAATGGGCATGGCTGCGTATCGGTCAAACTTTATTTAAAAAAATAGGCAGCAGGCCAGGTTGAACTCATGGGCCTTCGTGTGCCAACTCCCTGACCCAGGGCTTATAAGAGCTGGCCCTGGAACCAAAATTCCTGGGTTCAAATCCCAGCTCTGCCGTTTTCCAGCCATGGGAACTTGGGCAGGTTTCTTCATTTCTCTGTGCCTCAGTTTTATGACAAACATTATTAGTTTGTTAACAAAATTAAGTACTAATCTCTGTTAATAGTTCAACATTAAATGAATTAAATTATGTGTAAAATGCTTACAGAAGCGTTTGACCCATTGTAGGCATTCAGTAAGTGTTTATCATTATTATCATTCAATTTACAGCAGAAGGGGGCGCCTGGGTGGCTCAGTTGGTTGGGCGACTGCCTTCAGCTCAGGTCATGATCCTGGAGTCCTGGGATCGAGTCCCACATCAGGCTCCCTGCTCAGCGGGGAGTCTGCTTCTCCCTCTGGCCCTCCTCCCTCTCATGCTCTCTGTCTCTCATTCTCTTCTCTCAAATAAATAAATAAAATCTTAGAAAAAATTATAGCAAATACCTGGGTTGAACTTCTTGAACGCTAGCATTTTCTAGTACTGGTCCCAATACCCAATGCTAAGGCAGAGGGAGTCCTGCTGGGGCATCGACACCAGGACAAAGGCCCAACGCGGTGAGCTGAGTGGTAGCCCTGTCGCCTACCTGTGCCATCAGGCGTGGCACACACGTAGGTGGGCAGCATCTTGACGGGGGCAATGGCGTGAGTCTCCTTGCTCAGACCTCGCTCCATCTCTACGTTCATCCTCCTCTTGACCTCCAGAAGCTGCTCGCGGCTCAGCTTCAGAGACTCCAAGGTATTCTGGCGGGCTCGGTGTTGGTCAGCCAGCCGGTAGGCCACCGCCGTCACCATGGCTGCCCCCTTGCCACTGCCATCCTCGGAACGCAGGAAGCGGACGTCGCAGTCGGGCACCAGGCGCCGCACTGTCTTGTGAAGACGCTTGGCAAAGCTGCAGTTGCCGTGAGAGGGGAAGAGACGAGGGTCCACGGTGAGGGTCAAGGGAGCAAAGGGCTCGCTGCCTCAACCCCAAGGCCAGGAGGCACCCCCAGGAGCAGATGCTGCCCTGAACATCCTCTCCGCACCCTCCCAGGTTCTCGGTCAACACTGTTCAAGCTCAGAGAGTCATCTGTGATCACCCCAGCAGAGGGAAGGGAAAAGGGCCGCTGTAGGAAGCCCCTACCCTCGCACACAGTCACATTAAGACCTCCCCATCCCACAGCCAAGGCTCCTCCACCCAATACATCCGCCTCAGAATCGAGGGATTTGGACACCAGCAGTGCCCCTTTCATTAGACGCTGCCTGCAAAAAACCCAAAACAGAAAAACGAGAAACGCTCTGCTGGACTTTGGTCTCTTTGGCCAATTTCTGCCAAAAATCCCAAAGGTGTCTGAACAGCTCAAGACCACAGGTGTGTTCAACAAGAACTCCTTGGGTGGTGGCTGAGCTGAGCCATGGTCTCCGGGGCCTTGCTGTCCCTGGTGTGGTCTGTGGGCAACAGCACCCCTGGGGGCCCAGCTCAGAGACAGGGTCTCGGCCTGGACCCCCTGAATCAGACTCTGCCGCTTAACAAGATCCCCCAGTGATTCACGTGCACTTTCGTGTTTCTGAAGCCCTGGACTAGACGACCAGGGCGGAGACCTTGATTCAGTTAAAGAAGGCACACGGAACTGGCGCTCGAATCCAGTGCAAATGAAATAGTAAGTGGGCACGAGAGAGCGATTGGCCAGGTGCCAACTGAAATTTGAGTATTTTGGCACTTAGGACCCAAGGGACCAATCATGGAGGGAAGTGCAGGATCAGTTCAATGCCCAGGTCAGCCAGAGAGGCTGTGCCAGGGTGTCCTCTGTCGGAGGACACACCACCTGAACAGACCATCCACAAACATGAGAGTCAAGGAAACAAGCAGAGAGAAACCCAAACTCCTTAACAAGAGGGTGGCAGACAGAGCCCTGTGGCCAGGAGAGCCCTGGCTAGAGCTCCAGTCATCAGGAGCCCTCAGAAATCGCCTCCACCCCTGCCAAGGGCGCCACCCTCCCGACCCCCACATGCCCAGCTGGGAGCTTATCCTACAAAGTCCCTCAAGCTACGGTCCATTTCCACCGCCCCAGAAGGCAAAACGGAGCTGGCTGTGGAGTCACTAGGGTCTCTCGCAGGCCTGTCAGGGGTCCTCGAGTGCTCTGGGGGCCACGGCACTGGGGGTCTGGCCACGCTGACTCACTGTGGGTGCTTCTTGTAGACAGAGCCGTCCACCCCAATGGTGGAGCGCAGCCGCTCCTCGCCCTTGTTCTCCTTGATGCGCCGCAGCACGGCCGCCAGGGTGGCTGCGCACAGGCTGGCTGAGCGTGTAGACACGATCTGGCAGATCCGGTGAGTGGCCACGCAGTCCTCCTGTGTCGGGTCTATGCCCAGCCGCACAAGCACCTCACGGGCCTTCCGGGTGCCGTCCCTCTCCCTGGGAAAGAAAAGGACAGTGTGTGGGCACATGTCCAACCCAATGGGGCCAGCGCCATCTCCCAGTGAGGACAGGCACCCCTTCCATGGCTCTGCCCATTGACAGGAAGGTAGAACAAGGGGAAAACACAACAGAGCCAACAGGAGGCTCCTCACCCAGACACACACACACACACACACACAGAACTCAGGTGCTTCTTTTTCCCAATGGGAAAAGCAGTATTTTTTATGCACATACTAAGTAAGGACAAGACACTGTTCTTATGGCTTTACACACCAAGTTGTGTGTGTCTGTGTGTGTGAGAGAGAGAGAATGAGCTATGCTTGCTTATCTGGGGGTAGAGGGAACAGTGTCCCTGCCAGCAACCACCCAGCTGCGGAGCTCACCCCATTCTCTCTCTAGGAAGCAGCCAGCTCACTGCCTTTCACGACGGAGCGGGCACTGCTTTAACCAATGCTAGAGGCTGTGCCAGCGTGCTGCCATGAACTTCACAGTCTTCTCAGGGAGGCTAAGCACCTCACAAGTACACACTCTTCCATCCCCTTGGGGTTTAACAAGCAGGCACAATTCCCTCAAGAGTTTCCACTTGAGGTCACTGGAATGGTTTCACTGCTTCCTTTAGCACCCAATTCCCCTCCTCTCCACCATCTGGTCCCTGAAACAACAGGGCCTCCTCAAGTGACAAGTGGAACTCTCAAGAACAGGAAACTGGGCCCAACTCTTTGGATATTGTTATCTGGAAAACAAGATTCAGGCCATCTTCACCCCCATCCATGCCACTCTGTGAAATGCAGGCCTCAGCTATACCTACTGGAACTAAATGGGTAAACCTTAGGGCCATCCGAAGACCTATTCTTCTGTTAGGGAAGCAGGGGTCAGGACAGAGCCCTTTTGGAGAATCACCAACTGAGAAAGAAATAGAAGGCAGAGGGGAGAAGGGAAAGAAAGTAGATGCATGAGTCCGCAAGGGGTCTCATGGAGCCTCCGGCATTAAGCCAAGCCCCACCCCCACCCATGCAACACCAGGAGCCACTTGGGTAGCAGACAAGGGTGGAAACTATCTGAAAAGTTCAAGTCAAGACAAAGGCCTGCCATGGCCCATGTTGCACAAGACCCTCTTGCTGTCCAAATCTGAAGGGTCAAGGGCCGGTTCCCATTCCTCATTCCCCAACGGCCTGTTGGAGACCAGGTGAACAGAGAGGGACCCGGAAGCTTACCCTTCAATATCTGAAACATCTTTGGTCTCAAACTGGCCAGTGGCAAGGAGCCCTGGGCTGAGCTTCCCCCCGAAAAGCAGCTCTTCCTTGGCCATCTTCACCAGGATAAGCCTCACCAGTTCTCCCATGTACATCCCACTGATCATCTTCTCGAATCTGCAGGGATACAGACCAGACAATAAAGAACAGTCCTGGCTGTCAGTGAACTCACAACTTCCCCGCGGAGGTGGAGGCAACATGCGTGCAAAGCAAGATGGTGCACAACACAGTGCTAATTTGTGTGGCATTGCTGGGAATAAGTTGTGCAGAGAGGTGACAGCTCAGGGGAGGCTGCAGGGTCTGGGGTGTCTGCTCCATCTCTGCAGGCAGGGTGGGCCTTCAACTATGGAGGGAAAGGGCATGCGGAACATTGTGGAACAGCCTGAATTTTAGGGAAAGTTACATGTAGGATAGTTACTTTTAAATTTTTTTTTCTCTAGCAAGGAAATAGTTTTAAAATGAAACCTTATGAGGAGCCTCAATATTTATATACAAGAGAAGAAGGCCAATCTGATCCAATCAGCGGCACGGGCCCAGCAACATCTCACACTGCCCTCCCCTTGCAAGATCATTTGTGGATTTCTAGGAAACAGGGTGAAAAGAACCCCGGGGCTGGGGGTGGGGCGATGGGCAGGATTAGAAGGGCAGGTTAGGGCAGATGGGAAGAAGCTCTAAATGTCAGATGGTCGTGGGAATCTGGGAGTGCGACACATTGGAAGTTCCTGAGCAGACAGGTGACCAGATAAAGGCATGTTCTAGAAAGGCAGAGGGCTGCCCCCAAGCTGAGAGCAATCAGCTGATTTATTCTTTCAACACTAGGTGATGCTGTTTTCTTTGGAAGCCAGTCTTTGTGGCTCAAACGGTGTGATAGGAGAAACTGAACCTTTACCATTGTTTGCAGTTCTTTGCAGCAAGAAGGCCCTTTCTTGGTATCTAAGCATCTGGGGCCTAGAGAGAAGTCCCCCCAGGGCCAGCGGACACTACCTAGGCTGGGCTTCAGCGAAGCAACCCAGAGCGGCGGGGGTTGTTTACGGGATTATGACATCAGCTGGTACAATCTACAAGACAGGAAAGCCAGGCCCTCAGCAAGTGACTCGCTCGAGACCCAGGTATGGCAGAACTGGAGCTCAGTGCAGAGCTGGCAAAACTGCTTGAACAGAGGGTGCATGTAAATTGTTCAAGCACCAGCACAGGCACACTGTGTGGGAGGCTGCCTGGCTTTATCTGTAAGCAACTCATGTCGGCCTCTCCACCTTCTCCAAAACAGCTAGTTCGAAGGCAGACAGCGGACAGGTCCAGTGGGGCTCTGAAGTGTGGGTGACTTATAAAAGCTTTTATTCCAGTTTTTTTTTTTTTAATTTAAACTTTGTTTCAGTCAACATTTAGAAAAATATTTAGAAATACACCAAGAGTGGGAAGAAGTTCCTCCTGGGGCCCAATAATGACTTCTGGGCTACCATGGCTGACACTTTGTAGTCGATGTCCTCCCAGCCTTTGATTTGTCTCAGGCTGAGCCAGTGGTGTGTTGTCAAGGCTGGGCTGGCAATTCTGTCTTCAGACACTTTGAAGGGCATACAGCTCCTCTGAATGGCTTGGGTGTGCCTCATTCTTGGAAGCAGACATTGAGTGAGTGACTTTTCAGTCCATAAATTCTCACCAGCCATGGCAGACACAGCCAGTGCATTCCTATGAAAGTTACAAGTAAGTGGACTCATGCTTCAGTATGTGGGAGAAGCCTGTGACTTAAATAACCATGCCTTGAGGAAGCAAGGACTCTCCCTATACAGAAAAAGACAGCCCATTGCTAAGCTGGCTTACAGAGTCGGGTTTTCCTCTGAGCAGAGAGCTATGCCAGAAGCTTTCCTGCAACAGTCATAGCAACAAGAAGACCAGAGGGGGCCTGAATTGCTCAAAACATTTTGTAATTGCCTTCAGAGCTTAGAGCAATCCCTGTTTCAATATCTTTAATAGGGACATTGGGTCAATGTTGGTGTAATAATGACAGCAAAATAATGTTTTGTAACCGTCAAAAGTACCTAAAAACCAAGTTTAGCCAGGCTGGAGAATATAACATTCAGGGTGCAAAACGTTGGAGGCCCTCATGGTCCTGGGCCACAGGTCCAGGGTAGTGGCCAAGGAGGCTCCTAAGCCAGCTTTTCCAGAGGCCCTGGGTCTGCCTACAGCCAGCTCCAGCTCAGCTCACAGGCAGCTCTACTAGAGGTCGGAGTCGGGGCCTCAGCCAGTGTGCAGGAGGCAAGTGTCATAAGCCTCATCCCCTGAGCAGTGGCAGGGGTGGGAGCTACGAAGACAGCTTTCAGGCACCCTAAGCTTGGCCATGTCAAGATGACTCTTCTTTTGTGTCTCACAAACTGTTTCTATAGACAGCTTACACATTGAAGGTGGAAGAAAGAGCAGGGCCAACACTCAGGAAATGACATTCTAAAATGATGGCTCTGAAGGACAAAGCCAAATGACCTATAATCTGGTTTGTCCTCTCGTTTATTCGTTTTCAGAGCCCTCTCAGCAATTTAAAGTCACGGTGCATGTGATGAGCACCCCACTCCCATAACCAGGGGGTGCCCTGGCAATCTTTCGGGGATGTAACACTATAACGCAAAAGTGAGAACCACCCCCCAGCTCTGGTCAACCCCCAGCTCAGCTCCTGAGTCCACCCCCACGAGCCCACCGCAACACAGGGGTTGCTGCTCACAGTTGTTTCCCGGGGTTCAGGGAGCCCATGTCGATTTCCTGATCAAACTCAGTGCGGAAGTCATCGAGTGTGCCATCGTCCCCGAAGGCCCCCCACTCCATGTTGATACACATCCGCCCCTCGTCGCCCTCCACCATGTCAATGTGGCGCATCTCTTCCATGTAGCAGGCATTGCTGCCCGTGCCTGGCCAAAACAAGGGACTGCTCAACACCCACCTGCACCAACCAGCCTCTCGCCAGCCCCCATCTCCCTCTTACTCCAGCATCCTGAGACCAGCTAGAGAGGCTGGGATTGCTCAGTGCAAGCTCCTGGAGTATCCCAACATGATCCAATCCACAACCACCCCCAACCCGTAAGTTCTGGCTCAGTCCTCCAAAGTGACTGTACCATCATCTTCTAATATGAAGTACAAAGAATTATTCAGGCCATGGAGCCCTCCTCCCTTTCCAGCCCACACCCCCCATCCATTAGCCAGCACCAGCCCCCCACACCCAGTGTTCACTCACCTACAATGAGACCAATCTCACAATTCTGGTCATCATAACCACAGGTCATCATGGTCCCAACTGTGTCGTTCACCACAGCCACGATATCAATATCAAAGTCCTGCAGGGATAAAAATGGGGCTCTGGTCTTCACCATCACACAAAGGTTATGATTGTGAAGATGGAGAGAAAGAGCAGCAAGACACACAGCTCAGGTACATTAGGGCTGCCCCCTTACTAACCCTAATTGGAGCCAAAGGTTAGAGCTAGGAATTGGGTCCAGATCCAGTCTGACAGCAGTGACGCACTCCCCACCCTGCCTGTCCTCTCCATGGAGGCCACCAACCCTGTGATCTGGTTTATAGACATCACTGCATTCATAAGAGCCCATCTTGTCATCGCTGTCCCCTTCTGCTTCTCTTTCTTCTTTTCTTTTTCTCTCCCTCCTTCCCTGTAACTCCTATGACCAAACCTTTATCTTGTAATCTCTCTACCCCATTCCAACCTGATGACAACATCACCCCAACCTTCTTACTTGAAAATGATAATCAAGTCTTCTTCAGGTTAGAGACTGAAGGGTTTTTCTTGTACCAAGGCTAAGATTATTTATCCATGACGCTCATCTGAAGACCCCAAAGGCATCTGGTTATTACCCATCATCCTCATCTGAAGACCCAAGAGGCACCTGCTTATTATGTAAGATTATCAGTGTGGCAAACACTTCACAGTAAATGGATGCCAAGTCAGTATGAGGCATGCCTTAAACTTAGCTGTATGTCAACTATATCTCAATAAAACTAGAAAAAAATTTATTATTATTGGGTACACCTAGCAGGGAAGGAAAAGAAAATCTCTCCTTAAGAACTACAAAAAGGTTCTCATGCTGATTTGAAGACAGACTGGGAAAGATTTCAGAGTAGACCCAAAAGAATGTGAAGAGCCTCCAGACCCCACCTCCCTTCTCCCCATCCCTCCCTCCCCTACTCACCCCTCTCCTCTGGATGGCCTTCCGGATCAGAGTAACCACGTCTTTTCCTTCCACACCACTGGACTTGAACCCCTTGGTCCAGGAGACCAGGAAACTCTGAAAAAAGGACCAAGGAATGAACGCTGATTGCTCACAAAACCCAGACCACACTACTCAAACAACCATTAGTGGAGACCTCCTACCACAGAGCTAAGCTAAACTACAACCGTGCTTAAATATTCATACTGCTTCCTGATTAGCCTAGGAAAGAGAAATTGTGACCCATTCGAAGCCCCAGAAAGAAGATTAAATGAATGATTCCTTCATGATCTACTGCCCCCAAGAAGTGGAAAGAACAGGCTTTAGAAATGCCAAAATAAGAGACTCTCATCATTAACTCCCCAGACCTCTTTCTTCCAAGGAGCTTTATCATGATAAAGCAACATCAAAGGAGTTCCTAATTTCCCATTCCTGGTTCCCTACAAGGAATGAGGATAATGTACAACATATGCGGGGTTGCATATTGTCCTTTGAGGGATGAGTGGTAAAGACCCCTCCCCCCACTTCTGATACTTCTTCACCATCCCCCCACACCTACACACACCCACCCACCCACAAAGACAGAACTCTCAATACTCAAGCCTCATTCATATAACCATCAGAGCTGCCTCTAAAACCACAGAAGCAGCTGGCTCATCCCAGACCTCCCAGCCCTAAGAATGAACAACAAAAGTGTCTAAAGAACTCATCTTACCTCATCTAGTTTTGTTTGGACGCAGGGGAATGAGAAAGTAAAACCCAAGGGGAGCTTCTTGTCTTTGATTTGTAGCTTATCCATGAAGTTAGCCAGGCATTCTGCAATGTGGTCAAACAGCTAAGAGCACACAACACAAGAAGATGAGTGAGGAGGGAGAATAGCATGGAAATTAAGAACATACCTAGACTTTAAGCTCAGAAAGGAACTAGCTGAACATGTACAAGATGTGTATCCCCTCTCTGAAGTCTTAATTTGCTCATCTATAAAATGTGGGTGAAAACTATACCTGCCCTCAGAGTTACCAAAAGGATTAAGTGAGTCAATACACAGAAGGGCTTAACACTAACTAGTTAGTGCTTATTAAATACTGTCTTCCACTCAAACCACTTATCCAAACCACTGTCAAAACCCTGTGAGAGGCAGGGGAAATCATTGGTAAAGCTGATCAGAAGAAAGTCATCACATACACTGAGAACAGAACATCCCTTGGTGGCTCTGTCAGAACCCCCCCTTGACATGGGTGCACAGCTGACTGTCTTGCCAGGGAGGGCAGCCCATCTCACTGCCAAGAAGTATTCTAGCATCCCTGTCTCTTGTGATTAGGGAGGGAATGGGACATTCTCTGTTAGCATTCTATGAATGAACTTAACAAAAATAAGTCTTGTATTTTTCTTCCATTCTGGAAAAGTCATTTCCCAGGAACATTTAAAGAAGTTATCTTTGTTTTCTAACTTCAAAATGAAAACACCAAGTGAATCCATGAAGAGCACTGAAGAATAAATAGGGTTTTGTGGATGGGCAGCCTTATAACTGTGACCATGCCAAGCAGGACCCACAGCTCCTAAGAAAAAGCTGTATTTACAATTATCCAGGCTTTCAATCAGTCCCAAGGCCCACAGGCCCATGGCTTCCTTCTTTCCCATTCAGCATTCCCAAAGAGAGGCAGTGACCCCCTCCAGATGCTTACAGGCTGAGGCCAGGGGCATTCTGGTACAAAAAGTAAGCAGAGTCCAAAGAGACCAAGTAGATGCCAAGAGCCAGGTTGACCAGATGGCAAAATCTAAAAGCCAAGGGGGGTGGATGAGAATATACCTTTTCCTCTCTGGACAGAAGCAAGGAGGATTCCACTAAACCAGGGGTTCCCAGGGGTTGCTGGTCCTGGACCAGAACATCACCACCATCATGTTATAAATGTAAATTCTAGGGTCCAAATCCAAACCTACTGAATCAGAAACTGTAGGGGTGGGGCCCTCCAGGTGATCCTGAAGCAGTGCTTTGAGAACCACTGCACTAACAAAAAGTATTTGCATTTACAAAGGAACTGAGAGGTTAGGGGTGGCAGAGTAGACTAGGAGCCCCACTGGCTCCCCAGATGTCTGAGGTATGCTTCCTGGGAGCAATCCAGGAAGACAAGGCCACCCCATCTAGAAGGGGGCCAGCTGTAACAACTTCCTGCATTGATCCTGTCCCTGTCTGGTCACATGCGAAATTAACCTCAGCTGATGCTGAAACCCTCAATCTCCAAACCAAAACATTCTCAAGAGCCAAGGCTAGGCAACAACAAGGCTCTGTTGCAAAGAGGATCACCAATACATAAGTGTCAACTACCCTGAGAAGAAGCCAAGTATTTTAATATGTACATAAGGTTTCTAGACAGATACTCAACAAGTTCTGTTCTTCGGTTGGGAAGCTGACCACAGACAAAATTTACAGTATGACCAAATTCCCAGCACCTTCTTCCTGGTAGTCTAGTCAAAATGATGTTCACTAAAAATAGTCTTTATCCAAACAAAGGAAGTGGCAGAAGCTGTGTAAAGAGAGAAGGCCAATCATCAGAGATGAAGGGAGGGGGAGCTTAGGAAAGGGGAAAAGCAAAATGGTTTCCCTCATCCAGCCCCGATCCACTGCTCCCTTTCCAATTGTGCTACCAACAAGAAGAGGCAGTGAAGGGGTACTAACTTATACAGTAGCTACTGGCGATCTGTGGTTATCTTAACCACTTAGAATCTTAAAAAATGTAATAGTCACTTCCTCAATCACACTAGCCATATTTCAAGTGTTCAATGCCACCAGTAGCTAGCTAGTAGCTAACATATTTGCAAGGGGCAGATACATTGCGAAAAGTTCTACTGGACAGTGCTCAGAAGAACCTATGCCTCTTTAACACCAGGGAAGAGGTGACCATCTGCTCCCTTAATTGGAAGACTATCTCCTCTTCTATTAGCTGATGATCTAAGGATAAGATACTGGGAGAAAGAGCTAACACCTTCCTGCCATAAAAAGGCTCAAAGGGCGCCATTTCATGAGGTTAGAAAAGGATTCCTTTTCCTTATTGGTCTGAGACTGCTCACTCCCCTTCCCACAAGATACACTTTAAACATCTAAAGTGGCTGCTATTACAATTTGTAATTCACTGCTCTCAAGTGGAAGTTCGTGTGCTGGAAGACAGATTTTATCCAGGGATCCGTACTGCCAGAGTTCACAGATCTTCAGAAATCTTTGCAAGTTCAGGGCTTGGTGATTTGGTCTTGATCTTAACTAAATTTTATGTTTAAAATCCATTTGTTTTCCTCCAATTAAAAGATTGACACCTATTATCCAAAAGAAAAGGAAAATATAGGGAAAAAGTAATTCCACCACTAAAATAGCCACTATAGGGGCACCTGGGAGGCTCAGTCAGTTGAGCATCTGCCTTCAGCTCAGGTCAGGATCTCCGGGTCCTGGGATCGAGCGCCGCGTCAGGCTCCCTGCTCAGCACAGAGTCTGCTTCTCCCTCTCCCTCTGTCCCTCCACCCCACTCATGCTTGCTCTCTCTCTCAATAAATAAATAAAATATTAAAAAAAAAAAATCTTTAAAAGGGCCACTATGAATTTTCTTCCAGTCTTTTGACCAATTGTTTTCTGCTTTTAAGCACAGTATTCTTTCCCTTCCTTAGGGTGAAATAAACACCTATACTTTCTTCTAGTTTTATGTTTCATTTTTATATAGCAATTTTTCCATTTATTCAAAACTTGTAAAATATCACAATAGCTTTATAGTTTCTTCCAGATGGGTCTCACTTTTTTTTTTTTTAATTTGGACTAACACATTGTTTATGTATACTGGAGCTATGTGACCACCCCCATAGAGCTAAAATCCCAGTCTCAGGGACTTCACCTCCCTTGTTCAACCCCAGCATGAAAACAAGGAAAGCAGGTTTACCCTCAGAGCTGTCCCCAGGGACAAATAAAGACTCTAACGGCAGTCTCTCCCCCACATGTCCTCCTCTTAGTCGGAAATTCCCTTTTGAAGAGGGGACCCAGTATGGTGGGAAGAACAGTACACCAGGAATAAGAAGGCTCCACCCTTCTAAACCCTAAGGCCTAAAAGGTGACCACTTTGGCACGGCATCTTACTGGATTTCATGTCCTCTATTCGCTCTTTTATTGAGTACATGCTGGAGAGAAAATCAGCAAGACTAACCAGCACACAAGCTGGGAGTCATCCTTACAGAAGTGCCATCATCCAGGAATGTCTTCAGTGATTCCAACCCATGGACGGATAAGCAGCTGAAGAAGGAACCAGAAGAACATCCCAAGGAAGGTTTTTGCAGAGCAGCTGAAAGGGGAGACCAGTCTCCCTGGACACCCGAGAGCAGAGAATCATGCTGGACCAGTGGCTGTCACCCACCAACCGGCAAGATACTTCTGGAGCGGTGGCAGGAAGAGTCCCCTCTGTAGGAGGGCTCTCCTGGGGGAACTCTTGAGAGAGGGAGAGGCCCCAAAGGGCCTGCGCCACAGGACTTCATGTGTGCAGGAGCACCAGTGCCTTCAGGGAGGGCCTACTACTCTGGAAGCAGGGGCAGGGTGTTGGGATCCAGGACCACCATGTCGCCTGATTCCAGGACGTAACACTCACATGGACCGCATCACACAGCCTACCTAGTGGACGGAGACCCCGAGAACTGTGCAAACACATCAATCTGGCTTTGTGTTGTGACTCTGGCCCTTCCCGCCCCTATGATCTAAGGCCAAGTCACTCAGTCTTTGAAAACCCAATTCGACATCTATAAAGTGAGATAACAGAGGCACTCAGCCTCACAGGGCCAGTGTGACGATAAAAAGAAATGCAGGCAAAAAGCCTTTGCTCTGCCTGTCACACAACAGGTCATCGTGTGTCAGCACCTCCTGAGGGTTACTCATCCACTTCAACACGTTACTGCTTTCTCTGTGTCCTTTCTCTGGGAATCTCTGATTCCCAGCAAGGGTCACTGCCCCACGCACAGGAGAAGCTCAATACATGTTTGGAGATTACCACAGTGCGATTCCCTCCTTTCTCCTTTTTTTCCTGGCTATTACTGAGAGGATTCTTACTTGGATTTCATATTTCTTCTCTATCCACTCCTTTTACTGTCTAGATGCTCTAGAAGCCACAGAGATATGGGGATGACTAAGCATGATTTGGGGCAATGTGGAAGCACACGGTGCCCACTGCAGTACCAGCTGGGACAGACACCCCAAAGCTGGATTTTGATGTTTTCTCAGTAGGCTTCCACCCCTGTGTGCAATGCCTCTTCTGTTTTAGATAGGCAAGAAGAGAAAGAGCAAATAACCACAAAGCTGAAGGGCCAAGTTCCATCTTCCTATGATGCTGTGGTAACAAGTGTGAGACAGAGGGCTGCAGAACGACCACAGTAGCAGGCGGGAATATCAGACCACAATCGTGTGTTCTGACCTGCCATTTGATGGCACCACTAACCACAGGTGTCCAGCAGGGTGGGTCCGACCTCCCGACAGCAGGCTTTCATCACTAGTCAGCCCGTGCAAGCAGACCTCCAAAGACACGGCAAACCAAAACACCACCCGCTGCGGCCCATCCAGACCCTGGGGTCTCACACACATGCTCCCGGCTCTCTGGTCCGTGTGTACTTCTCCTAATGGAGATGCTTCACTCAACCTCCAGCCATAGAAAGGGCTCACCAGGCAGGGAGAAGACGGAAAATCTGAGCCTCTGTCAGGGTCTCCTCCCTCCAGACCAGAGAAAGGGCAGCATCTGCGCCTGTGGGGCCCAGAGCCCCAGTGGCCACTCTGAGGAGGGTCCTACCTGGGTGCCGCTGCCTCTCATGAGGTCCTCGGGGATGGCATAGATCTGGTTCTCCATCTCGACCTTCTGGAGCCCATTGTCTGTTACTCTTACCCAAAGCACACGGAAGTTTGTCCCTCCGAGGTCCAGAGCCAGGAACTCTCCGTGTTCTGCAGAGACAAGGGACTGCTATGAGTTCCGGAAAGATAAGATCCTCCCAGAGGCCAAGACTTAAAACCCATGAGTCCCTCCATAAACACTAGTCACCTCCCAGGGACGGGGTGGTCAGTGGTTCTTACTTTTTACCACAGACATTTATGTATGGTCTGATTCTGTTTCGTCATGCTAAGCACTTTTATATTACTTTTAAGAATTCACGCAAACAACGATACAGTCCTACACCCAATTATGAGGTGCCCGCCCCCTCACAAGAGCTCAGTTATTTCGGGGGCTTTCAGCCAAGTCCCCATAGGCTCAAGGGGCCCTTCAGCCCCTCTCCCAGGAGTCCACACCTCAGTTTTGTTCCTCATGCCCCCAGGACACCCAGGGCACCGCTATAGGCCTATGGGGCCCTGGGCTTTCAGTCAAATAGTGGTCCCCATACAGAATTTACTTTTCAATGTCTGCGTACAATGATGGCAATGTCTTGTGGCAGGATAAGAGGGTCATGTGATGAAGTGAATGGGGTCCAAATAGCTATAAATTAAGAGGCCTAGCAAATCAGCCAATCAGGTGCCCCCCAAAAAGATCCCAGGCTTATTAGAATGTGAGAGAATGCTGACCCAAAGGTATCCACTCAGCTGTTCCACTCAGACAGGCCCCAGAGCTGGGGTAGAGGGGGGACAGGGAGAGTCCACAAACACAAGTGGGTGAAGATCTTCAGGTGTCACCAGGAAGGCACTATCCCTTCTCCCCAGGAAACAAGCAGTGTAGACAAGAAACATCCAGCTTCTAGACAATAATACAGCTGGCTGCAGGGACATGCTCCATTGTATGGCACGGAAGAGAAGTGCTGAAGAGGCGCAGAGGCCCGGCCAGGGCTGGGGGCTGGCGGGGCTGGCAAGGGCTCGGGGAGGTGGGCTCACCCTCTCAGCAGCCTTCCCCTACGAGCAAAGCTCCACCAGTTTTCCACGGCCCTGCCACACAACGTCTCGGAAGGATACAGTGTTATTTCCTAGGGAATTCTCTTATTGGCATGTTTGTCAATGCTCAGCCCGTTTCCCACTGGGTGACTGGCCACTGAAGCTAAGGCAGCATGGACCAGCGGGGCAGGGAAACGCTCTGACCGAAATGAGCCAACAAGGGTCCATTCTGCGCCCAGGCCCTCTGAGCAGCAGTTAACTGTTTGGCCCTGAGAAAAGCTATTTCCGCTCAGCTCCCTGAGGGCGCTACCCATAGCCTCTACAGTCCGAAGGGGCAACTTGGGGGAAAGGGGTGTCATCCAGCCAAGATTCTGTGGGACTTGCCTCCACACACCCGTGGTCTGGTAGTGGCGACATGCACAGCCTGGCTCTGGAGCCCACATTACCTTTGTCTGGTATCTGGCCACGTTTTGGCCATGCCAAGTTCCTGAGGCTCGGCCGCCTCACCTCTGAAATGGGAACGTCCTTGACTTCAGGGGGTTGTTGTGAGGCAAAAAACTAGATAATGTGCCTCAACTACCCAACACGGTGCCAAGAACTTAGGACACACTCTGTAAGTACTAGAAACAATCCATCCAGGCATCCACTCACGGCCCAGTCCTCACACTGGAGACCTCTGGGCTTCACAGTTAGGGCCACCTCTCAGACTGAAAAGCAAAATCACCCTCACCAGTGGGGACTGAAGGAACCTGTCCAAGAAAAGTCATTGGCATCTGTCCCAGTGACTTCAGCGTTCCTCCTCAGGGGCGCTAATTCCCTGTCCCCTCCCTGACATCTGGAGAGCCTCCCAACCCCACTAGCTACAGGTGCTCGATAGTTGGAGTAACCTCAACCCCACCAGGGGTGACTTGGCCCTTCTCGTGGCCATGGGCAACTTTTCCAGGCACTCCAGTTCTGAGCCTCTCCTGGTAGTGGGAACCCAGCCAGACTGCAGGAAAAGCTATGCGGTGGTTGTCATGGGGGATGAAAAGGAAAATCAAAGACGAACTGCCTGCCTCAGCACTCTGCAGCCTAGGACACACGCAATGCGCTGAATCGGCGACCACAGGGGTCATGATTCAAGGCCAGCCCGACCTCCGTTCCCAGGAAGGAATGTCATCCCTTGCTTTCTTTTCAGACTCCACCGGAACAGACATTTCTCTCAGCATCCCTCCTCCCCGGCACCCCCGTCTGCAAACACACAGGATCACAATTACCACAGCCTAGGACTGGATGCTTTCCAGGGTCTAGTATCTCTGGGGCAGGCCCAGCACCATGACTCCTAGAGCTAAATCCTAAGGTGACCCCCCCTTGGGACAGTGGACAGACCATTCTCCTGGTGCCCAACTCCACACCGTGCATGAGAGGCCCCTGTAGAGCAGAGGTGAGGAGCTGGGCCTTCAGCAATGGGCAAATAGGCTTTGATTTGATTTCCAGCTCAGCTGCTTCACTCCCTATGTGGCCTCTAAGCATGTCACCTCCCCTGTAGAACAGGGCCCGTAATACTGACTTCTCCCAGGGGTCATGAGGCTGACACGAAATACAGAACATATTATGTGTGAATATGTAGGCTCACAGTAAGCCGTCAATAAACAGCTACTGTCCACTCTTTCCCCTTTGGTTGATCATGTAGTTCTTCTCAGCCTCTCCAATCCCCACCTACACTTACTCATTGTGCAAGTCCCACCTCTACTGTGAACCTTCCAGGACATTCCAGAAGCCCAGAGCAGACAGCGTGGGAGTGTGTGATGGGGCGTGAAGGAGCATCACATCTATGTGCCTGGGACTATCAAACTGGACGGGTGGGAGCAAGGCTCTGGGGCAGGAAAACGTGCTTACAGTAGGTTTCTTAAGAAAGTGCACAGCCATGTGACAGAGGACCCAGTAAGGTCCAGAGAGATCATTCTGCTGAATTATGGCTGCTATCTGAGGCAACATTTTAAGAAAACACCTCCTATTGCATTTGCTCATTGATGGTTCATTTGTTAAACAAAATGTTTGAGTACCAACCAATTTATAATATGAAACCGTCAGATCTGAGGTAATAAGGTCTCTTTCATTGTTGAGCATGCTGTTATGTCTGGAACACTAACTTTCTAAAAGTAGTAAAATATAAACATCTGATTTCTTAAAAAGCTCAAACAATACAAAAGGGGGAAAAATTAAAATCAAATCTCTCTTTTCTTCTCCACACACCAAAAGTAATCATTACTAATGTTTCTTGGGTGTCCTTAGGCACATTTATTTTATAAAGACAGCAGAGGCTATTAACAGACACATTCAGAGAAAGGAGTTGGAACTGCTGGTTCTTAGGATGTATGCTTTTAATTTGGAAGACATTGCCTACAAGTTCATGCCGGAAAGTTCTCAACGATTTCCCCACAAACCAACAGCTGAGTTTTGTTCTCACCAAGGTCTTATGTTATGTGGCAATTAATCTTTGCCAACCCCCTTGCTCAAAGTGGTATCTCATCTTTAAACTGGGTTTCCTTCTATTGTGTAAGGTTACACATTTTGAATTGCTGACTGGCCTTTTGAATTCCTTGTTCTGTGAACTTCCTATTCACATCTTTTGCCTTTTTAAACAATGCATTCAGGGACACCTGGGTGGCTCAGTCGGTTAAGCGACTGCCTTTAGCTCAGGAGGGAGCCTGCTTCTCCCTCTGCCTCTGCCTCTGCCGCTCCCCCTGCTTGTGCTCTCTCTGACAGATAAATAAAATCTTTAAAAAAAAACACATTCATTACTTTAATTACCTAAAAGAGCTCTTTGCATATTAAAGAAAATAGTCTTATTGGTTATATATTTATTATCATTTTTTCCAGTTGAATGTCTGTCTTTTTACTTTGTGGTATTTTTGCCATGCAGAAACATTTAATTTTTATGTTGCCAAAATATTTATGGTTTCTGGGTTTTATGTTGTATCTGTACAAATTCTAAAGATTACATGAGTTTGCCACCTTTCCTAACTCTCCCCAATTCCTCCTGAATGCGGCCACCACCACTGCTAAAATGAAGGAAGCAAAGTTTCAAAGTGTATTGGAAAGACCAAATTCATCTATTTTCTTTTTTGTTGTTGTTGTTTAAGGCCCCATCCCCACCCCACCTCTCCCTTGGGGTAGGCACCCCACTAGGGGCACCCAGCTACTCACTGCACAGCCGCCATTTTGGGGTAAACTGACCCAGATGGGCAGGGCCCTCCCTGCATAAAATTCAGCTGTGGAGAATGCAGGCATCGATCCTGCTAGCTCTCACATGCTAAGTAAGTGCTCTACCATTTGAGCTAATTCCCCAGCTCCCATTTTCTAGATTTTTTAATGGGACTTTTTTTGGAAAACAAAGCCCAAAACCCTGTCTTCATCTCTCTCGTCCCTTGGGACAGAGTTCCAACTTCATCACTGGCATCTGGATTACTGTGGTAATAAAACAATGGAAAGAGGCAGGTGTGGGGAGGGTTTAGTTTTTGAGAGCCCAACACATAGGTGTTTTTAATGGAAGAAAAACATTTGTTAAGTGATGGTCACTTTGTTTATAAGCATTATCGCATCGATCTTCAGCAACCCTATGGGACATCATAATACCAATTTTCCAGATCAAAAAATCCAAGACTCAGGTCAAGTAATTGAAACCAAGATTCAAATTCAGGTCTGGTTCTCCAGCAAAGTTTTCTACTGGGATGAGCAAGGAGGCTCCTCATGGGAAAGTTGTAAATCCCCAAATAAGGAATTCTTCATTAACAACACCAAGAGCATAAAGCCCAGAGGTCACCAGCAGCCTCCAAGCTGGCCTGGGTGGAAGAGGAAGTGACACTGTGGTTTAGAAGTTCAGTCATTTGGTTTAAGGTCACACAGGGGTAAATGACTGCTGGGTTTGAACCAAGTCCATCTGACCCCAAAGCCCATGCCTATTCCACCGCACCACACCCAGGTCTCTTGTTCCTGGAAGATGAGGAGGGTCTGGCACAGAATCTAGAACGAGGCAAATAAGCCATAAAGTGGTGAAAAAGAAAGCAAAGACGCCCTAATCTTTATCAGTAACTGCAGTCCGTCCC